CCAACTTATTTACCAACTTACTTACTTACTTACTTACCTACTTACATCAGTCAGAGTCAGAGTCAGTCAGAGTCAGAGTTTCTTTATTGTCATTCGCACCTCATGTGGTACATGTGGTGGAGCGAAATTATGTACACAGGGTCCCAGTTACATCCAACAATAAAATGTATAAGAAAAACAGTAATAACATCTAAGATATGAACTAAGAAAAACATCAACTAAATATACACTAAGCACTCGTAACATAAAAACAGTGAACATCAGCACAAACATGAACATGAGTCTGTGAGCAGATGTGCACGCATGAACACATCAACATTGAAACAGATCAGCAGCAACATGAAACAGATCAGCAGCAACATGATATGGTTTTACACAGTGATTATTCTAGTTAGAGATTCATGAGTCTAACAGCCTCAGGGTAGAAGCTGTTCCTCAGTCTAGTGGTTCTAGACTTAATGCTCCTCAACCTCCTTCCTGAGGGGAGTGGGGCAAAAAGTGTGTGTGCTGGGTGGGTGGGGTCCTTCATGATGCAGGTGGCCCTCTTCCTGCATCTGGAGGTGTAGATGTCTGTGATGGTGGGGAGGCTGATTCCAACAGTATTCTGTGCAGCCTTCACCACTCTCTGCAAAGCTTTTCTTTCTGCAGCTGTGCAGCCTCCATGCCACACATTGATGCTCGAACACAGGATGCTCTCCACTGCACACCTGTAGAAGGAGGTGAGGACTGAGCTTCCAGACCAGCTCGCCTCAGCCGTCTGAGGAAGTAGAGTCTCTGATGAGCTTTCTTGATCAGGCTGGTGGTGTTGTTGCTCCAGCTGAGGTTGTCATTCATGTGTACACCCAAGTACTTGTAGCTGGAGACCACTTCCACCGCAGATCCTCTTATGTTCAGGGGGGTGTAGGTGTTTTTGTTCCTTCTGAAGTCCACAATCATCTCCTTTGTCTTCTTCACATTGATGTGAAGGTTATTCTCTCTGCACCAGCTCTCCAGGTGTTCCACCTCTTGCCTGTAGCTGGACTCATCATTGTTTGTGATGCATCCCACCACCGCTGTATCATCTGCAAACTTTACAATGTGACAGCCTGGATGGGTAGCTGCACAATCATATGTGAGCAGAGTAAACAGAAGGGGGCTCAACACACATCCCTGAGGAGAGCCAGTGCTGAGGGTTATGGTGGAGGAGGAGAGGTTGTGGATCCTCACTAACTGTGGTCTGTTTGTTAAAAAGTCTAGTACCCAGTTGCAGATGGAGGGGCTTAGTCCTAGTGTGGATAGTTTGTCCATCAGGGTTTGGGGGATCATGGTGTTGAAGGCGGATGTGAAGTCCACAAAGAGCATACGGACGTAAGAGTTTTTCTGCTCCAGGTGGTTGAGTGCAGTGTGGACCACAGAGGAGATTGCATCCTCTGTTGATCGGTTCTCACGGTATGCGTACTGATGAGGGTCCTCGTTGATGTTGATGGTTGTTTTGATGTGAGTCATGACCAGTTTTTCGAAGCATTTAGCGACTATGGGGGTGAGGGCCACTGGCCGATAGTCATTCAGACCAGTCACTGTAGAGCTTTTTGGGACTGGGATGATGATTACATACTTAACTAATTACTTATTTACTTACCTACTTACTTACTTACATACTTACTTACCCACTTACTTGCTTAATACTTACTTACTTACCTACTTACTTGCTTACTTACCTACTTACATACTAACTAATTACTTATTTACTTACCTACTTACTTACTTATATACTTACTTACCTACTTACTTGCTTAATACTTACTTACTTACTTACCTAATAACTTGCT